TTGGAAGCATCCCTTATCCGTCTTGGTGGAGATCTAGTAACCTCAGCAGTCAGGGGCAGCCTCAGGCTGCAGTGTGGCAGTGGTGTCCCTTCTATCTCAGCCAGAGGCTCACTGTGCCTTCATCCCACAGGTCCAAGCATCCACCGAAGTACTACTGGTGGTTCTTTGAGACAGTTCCAGGTAGGAAGCGGGGTGGTAGGTGTGTGGGATCTGAGCATCCCATCTGAGTACCTCCTCCAGGGTCTCCTCTTCCTGAGTACACCCTGTCTGTAAGAGCCATAAGCCCCTTTCTGACAGACCAGCCCCAGCTCCAGCCCCTCCAGATACGCTGCTCTGGAGCCCTGAAAGAATGAGAATGGAGGTTGGGTGGAATGGCTGTGGCGTGATGTCCTGTTGTATTCCCAGCTCAGGCTGAGGTCCTGAGAATACCCCCTGAGCCTGTCCTCCCACCCCCAGGTATGACAGGAGTTCTCCTGCTCCTGGTCCTGGCCATCATGTACGTCTTTGCCTCCCACCACTTCCGACGCCACAGTTTCCGGGGCTTCTGGCTGACCCACCACCTCTATGTTGTGCTCTATGCCCTGGTGAGAGCCCTCAATGGGCAGGGTTGGACCTTGGAGGGGGACACGGGATGGAAAGGGAGGAGAAAGGAGGGAGAATCAGACTCAAGGCCTGTGATCCTGAGATATGAGACCTCACACTGTGGTCTATGTCAGCCCATCTACCAAGACCAGACCCCGTGCCTGGGTGGGCCATGCCTGACAAGGAGGAAGAAGGCGGGGTCTGTATGGGTGGTGCTATACTAACTGGTCATGTTTCCAGCTCATCATCCATGGCAGCTATGCCCTCATCCAATTGCCCAGTTTCCACATTTACTTCCTGGTCCCAGCAATTATCTATGGAGGGGACAAGCTGGTGAGCCTGAGCCGGAAGAAGGTGGAGATCAGCGTGGTGAAGGCTGAGCTGCTGCCTTCAGGTAAGGCCTGGTCTGATACAGGCATAGAGAATCAGTCAGCTTCTCAGACATGGTGGGAGCTTGTCAGGTTTCTCAACCTACCTCTGACATCCTCTTGAGAACCCCTGAGTCCTGAAGATTTTCTGACAGAAAGAGCATCCCAAGGTACAGTTTCTAATCTAGGCTCTTCTCTACCTATGACCCCTAGGAGTAACCCACCTGCAGTTCCAGCGACCCCAGGGGTTTGAGTACAAATCAGGGCAGTGGGTGCGGATTGCCTGCCTGGCTCTGGGGACCAATGAGTACCACCCCTTCACATTGACCTCTGCACCCCACGAGGACACACTCAGCCTGCACATCCGAGCTGTGGGACCCTGGACCACCCGCCTCAGGGAGATCTACTCACCCCCCATGGGTGACACTCATGCCAGATACCCAAAGGTGCCTATCCCTGGGACGGTCCCTTCCCCTCTGCTCTGACACTAGTTTTAGGGGGGCCAAGGAGCTCTGCCCCCTCCCTCTGATAGTTGTCCCCTTTTCTGCCTCAGAGTTGGGGCAGGGCCAGGCTCATCTCACCTGTCCTTCTCTCGGCAGCTGTACCTCGACGGACCATTTGGAGAGGGCCACCAGGAGTGGCATAAGTTTGAGGTGTCAGTGCTGGTAGGAGGGGGCATTGGGGTCACTCCCTTTGCCTCCATCCTTAAAGACCTGGTCTTCAAATCATCCTTGGGCACCCAGATGCTCTGTAAGAAGGTGAATCTCTTTCCTCCACTCTGCATGGGGAATATATGGCCTGATGGAGTCCTGACATCACAGCCAAGCACTCCTGGCTCTCAACCACAGGGTCTGTGGGAACCATTACACCAAGTGGTCCAGATGCCAGATCTTGAGGGTAGATGGGAAAGTGGCTAGAGAGACCTCTGCTGGCCTCTGTCCTGTGGAAGCCAAGACCAGAGCATCACTCTATATAGGATATCTGAGACTTACTAGCATCTCAGAATGTAGGGAGCCAGGCCTGATCCCCAGCGTGTGTCCTCAGATCTACTTCATTTGGGTGACAAGGACTCAGCGGCAGTTTGAGTGGCTGGCTGACATTATCCGGGAGGTGGAGGAGAACGACCACCAGGAACTGGTGTCTGTGCACATCTATATCACCCAGCTGGCTGAGAAGTTTGACCTCAGGACCACCATGCTGGTAGGCAGGGCAGGTGGGACACCATCGGGGCTGAGAGTTGGCCCCAGCCATGCCTGCTGTGATCCTCTCCCGCTTCCTTCCCCAGTACATCTGTGAGCGGCACTTCCAGAAGGTGCTGAACCGGAGTTTGTTCACGGGCCTGCGCTCTGTCACCCACTTTGGCCGCCCTCCCTTTGAGCTCTTCTTCAACTCTCTGCAGGAAGTCCACCCCCAGGTGGGTCCACCCTAGGACCCCGCTTAACTTTCTCATCTTAGCCACCCCTGCAGCTCAGTCCTGAGCAGAGAATTGCCACCCTGAGCACAGATTTATCAGAGCCACCCCCAGCTCTAGCCTCTTTCCCAGGGTCTAAGGCAGAAGCCTGCTTTTTTTGTGGTCAGGCTGGAGAAGGTGACTTCCCTGGGCAGTGGGCAATTCAAGGCTCCAGGGCACGTGTCTCTCCATGGACAGGTTCGTAAGATTGGAGTCTTCAGCTGTGGTCCTCCAGGGATGACCAAGAATGTGGAGAAGTCTTGCCAACTTATCAACAGGCAGGACCGGGCTCACTTTGTGCATCATTATGAGAACTTCTAAGCCTGATCTCCTTGGCCCCTGCCCGGTCCATTACTCTCCCTCCATGGACTTCAGCACTACTGTCACTCGAGACCACAGCCAGGGAACCGGACACCACCGCCACCCTGCCTCATTGCCTCATCTACTCCATGTTCTGGGCAGATAGACAAAGCCTCTCTAATTCCCAGATCATGTCATGATAGGCTATGTGAGGAGAGGACAGTTCCTGTTTTCTGATAATTGTGGAAGGAAAGAGCACACTGTGGGTCACCTCTGATAGGTCTCTTTCTCTGATTTGCCTTCACAAAATTGGTATATTGGTGTGGACTTTTCTTGGGGAATCATTTGAGAAGAGAGCGAGAATCTCCTCAGTGTCCCTCTCAGAGACCATATACTGAAAGCCTGCACAGCCCACCTGCCTCACTCAGCCTCTGGGCCTTTCCTCACAGCCGCAGTCCCACACCTTCCTGCTCCAAGAGAGCCACAAACCATAAGGCCACCAAAGAACACGTGCCCTCCTAGCCCTGAGTTCCTAATGTCAGCCAGTACTGTCTGCTGCCCTGACCTTTCAGTGAGTCCTTCTGGGAGCCTGGGAGCAGACCCCCAAGCTCCAGGATTAAGAGAACAATGGTCTTTCTATAACTCACCCCAAACCCCTCAGTTCCTGTTTCCCAGAGAAAGCTTTAACAACTTTCCCAGTTTGCTCAGTTTGGGCACTAGAAATCAGGTCACCTGACCACATGTGTCCCCTCTACCCTTCACTTTTTTTTTAAACTAGAAATCTGAGTTGTTAACATATGTGCAGTTGAGGTATAGTTGCATAAAGTATGTGAATCTTAAAGTATCTACAACCTAGGTCATGTCAGAAAACCTTTCTCACACCATGGTGTGTTTGTGATTCATTTCTGCCATTGTGTCTGTTGGCCATTTGTTCCTTTTTATTGCTATGAGGCATTCCATTGTAAAGATCATGTCACAGTTTGTTTACCCAGGCTGCTGGTAGGTGGTTGGCTTGTTTCTGGATTTGGATGATTGTAAATAAAGTTGCTGTGAACATTCATTTGTACACCTATCTTTTGGGGGATACAATGCACTCATCTTTCTGGGTATGGAACTTATCTGGGAGTAGAATTGCTGGGCCATGGTATTCTCCAGCTGGTAGAATTTGTAGCAAGAAGAATATCCCTGAACCAGGATCCTTCCTTGGTGGGTTTATTCAGAAGCCAAGTGTCTCTATAGTGAGGGACATCTCTGACAAAGCAGGACATACCAGGCTGGAGCCCAAGAGATGTGATGCCAATTTTATTTGTAAAGATTCTAAAGGACAACCCACAATTTCTTTGAGCCTGTTTCTATGTTTATGTAGCTGCTTGTGAAGATATTAGGAGGTGAGACAACAAACAGCCCCAGACAAATTACACAGACAAGGAAAAAATAGGAAAGTATGTTTTACAATTATAGTGTGTTAAGTTTTAGTCTGTCTGTTTAATGTTTTTAGGTTTCATGAAGTGTGGTTTTTTAAAATAAATAAATAAATACTGAACATATTTAAGGACTGCATTATGTATGTCCTGGCCTCTAGCTCTCTTGGTACTCAAGTCACAGAGTCCCCAGTCCTGAGCGCCAGCCTCTTAAACACCAGCCTCAGCTTTATTCTCAGATCGGACCCATCAGTGCCTTCTTGCTTTCTTTAAAAAATATTTTTCCATCTTTATTTTTTTATCTTTGGTTTTTCAAGACTGCATTTCTCTGTGTAGCCCTGGCTGTCCTGGAACTCCCTCTGTAGACCAGGCTGGCCTTGAACTCAAAGATCTGCCTGCCTCTGCCTCCCAAGTGCTGGGATTAAAGTCATGTGCCAGCTGGGCGTTAGTGGCGCACGCCTTTAATCCCAGCACTCGGGAGGCAGAGGCAGGCGGATCTCTGTGAGTTCAAGGCCCACCCAGTCTACAGAGCGAGTTCCAGGACAGCCTCCAAAACAATACAGAGAAACCCTGTCTCAAAAAGAAAAGTCGTGTGCCACCATTTACCCCCAAAATATTTTTCTATTTTATCCTAGCCTACTCATCCTTGTTAGACTGCAAAATGGCATTAACATGGCCATAAGCGTTATCCCTAACATTCTGTCCCCTGCTTCTCTTCCCCTCCTCCTTTCCATACTAAGGGAAATGACATTCTCATGGAGAGTCTGTGATCTTTTTTTAGACTTTTTTTTATTTAAAATTAAAACAATTTTATATTTTACATACCAATCCCAGTTCTCTCTCCCTCCTGTCCTCCATGCCCTCCAATAAACCCCCCATTCCACCCCCCTAATCCATTCCCCAAGGAGGGTGAGGCCTCCCATCGGGGATCATCAAAGTCCGTCACATCATTTGGGGCAAGCAGTCTTTCTCTGTTCTGGATCACCAATGTTGGTCTGAATCTCTGGAACCAAACTCTGACTTACAAAAATAGGAAGCATGGGCTGGAGAGATGACTCAACCGTAAAAGGCTAGGCTCACAAGCAAAAATAGGAAGGAGAGTGATCCTAAAAAAGAGATAAAAAGAAAGTCTTTGGGGCCAGGTAGGAAGGCAGTGGATGAAGACAGGAAGTCTTGGGACTGAGCCCTATATAGAAGGAAGATGGGCTCAACTATTGACTCTTTCCACAACCTTTAAGTCCAACTGAAAGAAAAGAAAGTTGACAAGATGTAACATCCTTCCCGGATCTGGGTACCAGCTTTCGAGGGAGGGTATTCAGTCCAGCTTGGTGCCTATAGTAGACAGCTCTTGAGTCCAATTGGGTTTGAATCCAGTAGGTGACTGTGAGTAAATAGAATATTTGGTGCCTAAGCTTGCTCCTCCACAGATGGCGGTGAAGGGAGTATTTTCTCCTTAGGACTTAGCAAGTTCCAATGAAATAATCCAATTTAATAAGTAGGTGCTGGCCCTGCTATGTCTCAGACTCAGCTCAACTCCCAGGGCATTTACATGCAAGTGGAAACAAAGAGCAATTTAGAAGTAGGAGATTTCCACTCATAAAGGCTTTGAAGACAATAAAATAACAGTGAGTGACTGGAAGGGAGGGCTTCTTTAAATAAGATGAATGAGGAAAAGCCCTAGGGAGATAATAATATTGTAACAAACCATGTCCACACTTCTTGCTATGTGTCCAGTGCTCACTTGGTCCTCAGAATGAGCTACAAAAGTTATTATTATTTATTTATTTATTTATTTATTTATTTATTTATTTATTTATTTATTATTATTCTCTGTTTGAGCTATAGAACTGAAATACTGAAGGTCTTAAATGTTCTCAGAATCACCCAGGATGTAAGTGATTTGAGTCCAACAGACTTAGGCAGACCGTGCCCTTAACTCTCACTTTAGCCTCTCAAAAATCAAAGACCTTACTCACGCCAGACATCTAATAAGATTTTAGTTTCTGTCATTATTAGTAATTGAGGTCAAAGTTCTGAGAGCGGAGCTCAGTCTGCATTCCAAGGAATGGGGTGGTGTGTTGTTGAAAAGCTTGTCCTTAGACAATACCTGTCTACTATCTGAGCTCCTTTATCACCTCCCAGGGTTCCTACTCACCCCCTAGGTTCCACCAGGACCTGGTACTGTGAAGGGGAGGAGACCTCCCATGCCCTCGAGGTCCTCCCTCCACCCATTATTGGGAAGTCCCTCCCCGTGGCCTGGCCAGAGAGGGAAGGTAACACACTGATCACTCTATCTTCTGTCCAGATCACCGGATGCATTAAGGCACAGGTAATTTTTCCCAGCTGACTTATTTTTCCTGGATAGTGACATCACGTGAACTACACCATGAAGGCATTCTTCTCTCCTAAGAGGCTGATTTTGGGGTTCTAGCGTCTCTGTGACAGTGCTACAACCAGGCGGTCCAGGTTTCGTCTTTACTTCTAACAGAATTACTGTGTGCTCTAGGGGAGGTCACATGAGTTCTCTCAGCCTCAAACTTCTCATTAAGAAAAAAAGAAAATGGAGAGCCGGTGAGATGGCTCAGTGTGCAAAGGCACCTGCCACCAAGCCTGATGACCTGAGTTCAATCCTCAAAACCCACACGGCAGGGAGAAATAACTCTACAGTGTCTTCTGACTTACAGAAGCCTGCTGTGGCGTGAACCTCCTACCACACACATAATCAAATAAGTAAAATGTAAAAACAAGACAAAAGGAATTACACTGAGAGTCCTTTCAAACCTAAACTTTCATTTTCCCTTCAGTCATTATCTCAAATGAACAGAAACTCTACTTTTGGAAAACAGCTTGCTTGGCCACTTATCTAAGGATAAATGGTCGTCATGATTTGCCTCCTGGGGTCCTTCCAATACAGCATTGGAAGAGGCATTGTCATCCCCTTCTAGTCAATGAGGCAAATGAGGCTCAGAGCATCACACAGCCACAGGCACCAAGCTAGGAACAGGCAAAATCAGAGTATGAAATCAGGCTTGATATCTCAGAGCCTTTGTCCATTCCATCCCCCTGCCTGAAAAGGTCACAGCTCTCAACCTGTGGGTCACAACCCCTTTGGGGGTCAAACAACCTTTTCATAGGGATTCCCTGAGGCCATCAGAAAACACAGATATTTACATTATGATTCATAACAGTAGCATAATTACAGTTATAGTATAGCAAAGAAAATAATTTTATGGTTGGGGTCACTACAACACAAGGAATGGTATTAAAGGGCCAGTCACAGCCTTAGGAAGGTTGAGAACCCCTGACCTAAGGAAATGGTGAGGAACGGTATTAAAGGGCCAGTCACAGTCGTAGGAAGGTTGAGAATCACCGCTCTAAGGGAATAGAAAGGGGAGAATACAGAGTTTTTATTACTTACTCTCTAATGATTCTGATGACCATTTATTGAACAACTGCACATAAGACCTTGCCCTCACTTTCCCATCTACGCAGGGTTCACTACACCTTAAGAAAGGCATGGCCTTGGGGAATGCTGCTAGAGAGATCGATCCCTGGATGGGGCAGGAGGCTGTTAAGGCGGAGTTTCCTGGGGAACTGGACTTTTATTACCTGTATAGACAAAACAGAAAGATAACAAGGGGCCCAGTGCCAGCTTCCTGATTACTTTCTATCATTTAATCCTTTCAGCAGCTCTGTAAGGTGGGAGTGGATGGTTAGCTACCCAACAGCAAGTGAGAAGTTAAGCAAACTATTGAACCAAATGGAATATCAGACATCCTTTCTCTGTAGAACCCATTAGGCGACTTTTCATACTCAGAAAATCTGGCAAAACATCTCTTAAAATCTTAAAATGTTTGAGCCTTGCCTTCTTTTTCACTAATTCCTTTAGTGGAAAAAAGCCCAGATAGATATTTACAGCTGAAAATATACCAGAGTAGTCACAGTGTTTAGTAACAATGTTCAGAGTGCATCTGAATGAAATTTTGAAAGTCAAGGTTTCACTGCCAAAAGAGAAAAGTGCACTGGCAAGAGGACTCCGTGAGGAAAACCACTTGCCAAGCAAGCCTGGCCACCTGAGTTCAACCTCTGTAATGAGCGTAAAAAGCCTGCTGCTGTCCTGATGTGTCTGGAATCCCAGCACACCCATGGCATGGAAGACAGGGGAGATAGACTCTCTGAAGCTAGCCTGAAGCGTGCCGCATAGTGAAAAGAAGACAGTCTGACTCAACAAGGCGGAAGGCAAAAAGTGATTCCCAGAAGTTGTCCTTTGACCTCCGTATGCCTATGCAGGCACGCACGCGTGTGCGCACGCACACACACACAGATGACCATGATGATGATGATGATGATGACGACGATGATGATAGTTTTTAAGAGGAAACTGATTTAAATGAACTGAGGAGGAAGAAACAATCAGAGGATTATAAGTTCAGCTGATTTCCTAGTGTTATGTTGAGAAAAAAGGAAAGCATATCTTACACTCTCCTGAGGGACGGATGCGAAGCTGATAATGGTGTCAACAGACTTCAGCAAAGGAGTCAATTTCCAAGAATCCTACAGAAATATTTGCATTTGAATAATAAAAAGTTCCATATGCACAGAAATTCATGATTCTACATTAGCAAAACACCTAGTACTAGGAGACTCACACATATCCATAACAGTACACAGTGTATGCATACAATAGACAGTATCTGCAGTGGATCTTGTGTTAGCTACACCCATCCAATGAGGGTTATAATAATATATTACCATTTAAAAGAGTACATATGATCTATATGTGCTGAAACACACACACACACACACACACACACACACACACACAACTTCACTGTGGTGAGAAAATGACCTACTGGGAACACCACCCTCGAGCTTAAATCCTACCCAGCTAATTTACTTGGGCTCTATTACTGTTTGGAGCCTCCAGTCTCTGAGACATAAGGGAAAGATGGCATAACATTTGTAAGGCTCAGCAAACATATGACCCTCTGTGACCTTTCCCTACCAATCTACTTGCCAACTCCGAATTTAGAGATGTGATCAAAGGTGTCCTGTTGCTGGGTGGTGATACGGGCTCCAGATAGATATCTTTTAAGAATATAGAATAAATGTCTTTGAACATTATATCTCAGGCCCTGGAAAAAGAGAATAATTTGAAGAAAACTTAATTTGGGAAAAGGAATTAGCAACTGAAAGTCAGAATCCCCATTGTGTTCGCCCCTTTGGAAGAATATTTCAAAACGCAGAAGCCTCAGATGAATTCTTTGGCATTCCATGGCTGTGGGAGTTATGAGGAACATAACTGTGGGGCATAGATGCACTCATCTGCAGGGTTCACTTAGGACATGACATTGGTGTCAGACCACTTACCGAGAGAGCCCCTGGGGAGGAGGCAGAAAGGCTCATTAGCATTTCAGACTGGAGTGGGTAAGGCTGCTGGATGAAATCTTAAATCGATATGTCTCCATCTAATCAAGATTAGAAAAAGAGCATAGTTGTTTATAGGCATTAAGAGTAGTTGGCAGGGTTATACCTCATTTGTTTAATGTAATGCAAGAAAAAATAATTAATAGTGGAATGTTTTTTAGTCGTGTCAAGGCTTTTAAAACATATTTTAGTTTTGTATGCATATGGGCGTTTTGCTTGTGTGCTGTGTGTGTGCCTGGTGCCCACAGAGGCGTTGGAGTCTCTGGAACTGGAGTTACAGGTGGTTATGAGTCATCACGTGGCTCCTCTACAAGGGCAACCAGTTTTTAAACCGCTAAACCATCTCTCCAGCCACTCCCAAGCCCATCCCACCCTCCCCCAAGGCAGAGATATGGAGATACATTCCAGCTCTCAGCAGGTTGAGGTAGGAGGATTGAGAGTTTGAGGCCAGCCTGGGCTATACAGCAAGACCCAATCTTGAAAACCAAACAAACAAAACAGTTCTATGTACTGTAAACAAAGGTAATGTTTTTTTTTTATATAAATGAATTTAAAAGGACAAAGAAAACAAAGCCATTTAGAGAATTCCATAGGTAGTGGAGATGGGAGACAAAGAAGGAAATGAGAAAGTTACTCAAGGGAACTAGGAAGTGGAGGGAGAAGAGGCTGCCAGAGGTTCCTAGGCTGGTGCCATGCACATGGGCTTATCCTGGGCCTACCTGCAGCATCATCCTTCTAGTGGAGAAGGCTTAGAAAACATCAGTTAAAAGCCATTGTGTTCTTGGATAGTGTTTGCCTAGCATGCAAGAAGCCCTGATTGCATCCTTACATCAAAGAGACCAGGTTATAGGCATGTGCCACTATAGTCTGGCTAATTAATTGCTCTGTGTCTTAGCTTTCTCAGCTATAAAATGGGGTAACTTGTGCTAACCTGATTACAGTGAGAGTTCTATGAGTGAATATGTCCATCACCCTTAGAAGTGTCTGTTCTACAGTAGACACAACTCCCTTCTTTCCCACAGTATTCTGTTGACAAATGACCACTGAGAAAAGTTTCTGTGACTCCCATCACAAATGATCAAGAGAGAAACAAAAGTCAAATGACTTCTGAAATTAATGTGTCAGGACCCCAAAAAATATTTTGGAGGAGAGAGGAACCCAGGAACAACTTCAGACTCTCTTTCCACATTCTGTCCACCAGCCAAAGAAGCCCCTAGACCAAGGAGGCCTAAGTGACTGGCTATCTCTGTACAGGAACTTCTAAAAGTCATGGCCAAGTCTCATTCTACAGTGTGAAGGTATTCCTACAGACTAGCACATTGGCCTGGCACACATAGAAGAAATTCTGGAAATGCGGAGCCTGTAAAGAGAGAGTCCTCTGCCTCTGGTCCAGTATTTGTGATACCCACAATTCCCTTTAAAACAAGAGGCTGAAGGATTCAACTGGTCCCACCCACTGTCCTCAGTGAGATTCCCATCTTGTTTAAACCACGATGTCTTTGATGGGACTCTGGATTGATGACTCTAGTCCAGGTGAGCCCTCCTATGTGACAGAGGTCTCTGCCTCTGACCCTACTGGCCCTTAGAGCTTCATTTCTCCTCATCACAGTATGTCACTAGACTGTCCCTTAAGAGAGTCCAGTCATTCTGAAGTCATCTCAAGAGAATGGCTCAGAGTTGGGAGTTATGACTCTTAACAGGCTACACGTGTCTCCAGAATTTGTTCTCTGTGTGCCAGGGCACTGAGCTAGTCTGTAGGGATGTCTTCACAACGTAGACTGAGACTTGGTCATGGCTTCCAGAAGTGCCTGTCCAGAGATGGCCAGTCCCTTAGGCTTCCTGGGTCTACGGGTTTCTTTGGCTGGTAGATGGACAGACAGAGGTAGGGGGAAGGGTCAGAGGAAGTTCCCTGGGTTCCCCTCTCCTCCCTACTTTGTGGTCTTGAGATCTAGTGACACTTCTCCTGCCTGGGCGTATTTTTATAAGAGCTGACAATGCTGGGTCTATTTGTTTTTATGCATTGGTATTTTGCCTGTGTGTTAAGTCTGTATGAGGGTGTCAGGTCCCATAGAACTGGAGACAGTTGTGAACCACCATGTGGGTGCTGGGAATTGAACCACTGGGCCATTTCTCCAGCCCAAGAATGCTAGGTCTTTCCTACCACCTTGAGGAGTTCTCATAAACCTTCAAGCATCTTGGCAGAGTCAGAACCCAGAGCTGGGAAAACCCTGGGGGATCATTTACCCTGCTCTTCAACGGGCAAGGCAATAAATCTTGGTGAGACAAAGACAGGGCATGGACACTGAGTAAACACAATCATAGTGACATGCAAAGAACTTCAAAATGACTTCATCTGACCCCATGACAACCCTGAGGTGGGTATTACTTTCCTACTTAAAGTGGCCTGAGGGTTAGGAAAAGTCAAATGAGTTGCTCAGGGTCATAAGACAGTATAGTGACCCAACATGAAGTCACCTGTTTCTTACATTTTGGAGCCCAAGTCTATCAGGTGTCTACCAGCCTCATCCTTTACTGCCTCTTTCAAGCTCTTCCTCAACTCTGACTCAGTGACGATGCATAAGCAAGGTGGCAAAGACTTTTCCAGCCAGCCTCCCATCAATGCTGCCTCCACCTTGGGGGCGTCACTCCTTCTGGAGCCACATTCTAGAGAGAAGGCAGCAATGGTAGGAGCAAAGCTTCCTTGAGTCCTAGTGGCAGTTTAGCACAGGGGAACCAACATGGTATTAGTCCAGAAAAGCTCTGGCTGGAACCTGCTGCTCTGTGTAGTACTGAAAGTCCGACTGCCTCCCAGCCCTGCAGGCACTGAGTCACTGTCTTCACTCTGCCCTGGATTAACAGTTCCTTGTCTTCAGTTTTTTTCCTCATTCACACCCTCTCAGATCATATGTTGACCTCTTGATTTGCTGATAATAGTTCCCCCGTTAAGCTTCTGAAAACCAAATCTTTTCAGATCATAAGGCTTGTTGGAAAGCATCTCTACTCTCCAAGATGCCTTGCCAGTCCTAGAAGAATCAATAACTCTTGATGCCTTTGAGGCTAGTAGTCGCGTCCTATGCCATGATGGGTGATGAGGGACATGTTTCACTTTGGTGTTCATGGGAATAGATAGCACCTAAAATGTGTACTGTTAGGCCAGCTGAGCCCAGCATTCAGTATACTTACATAGTAAGAGAATAAAGAGCAACATGACCATCCTATTTGAGTCACTCAGAACTTCCCTTAAAGTCTTAAGTTGTCAAGTCTTTCAATAATCCAAGACCAGCATCCTAATACCGATTCCAGTTAATTCCACAACACAGAGTTACACCCACTAAAGAGAGCCCAGTACAGCGAAGGGACATTTATATGGCCCTTACTTCTTCCTAGTGACTTAATAAGATTTGGTTAAGGTACTCTGTCCTGCCATTGAGGGCATAGGATGTAGGGAATCTTGGGGTACAGGTTCACTGATGGTGGTCCACCCCTCCATAGTAACTGAGACACTTTCCTATAATCCCACACCAGCCCCTACAGGCACTGTTGTCATAGCCATGGAAGGGATGACTGTTATTAACAACATGAAAACTCAGGCCTGGAGACATAGAATCATGTTCAAGTTTTGAATTGTGGAGGATCGCCTCCATTTTCCCAGTGATCTGAAGCCAGTTAGCCAGTGGCTCCACGACCCCACCCTCAGTCACCCCTGAGGGCTTCCCAGTGTACAAGTCCTCTCACACTATTATAACCTGGAACCCCAAAGACTTCCCTGGTCTCAATGCCAATGTGTATACTCACAGGCTGTGGAAATGGTTCAATTGATACAACACCTGTCATGTAAGCATGAGGACATGAGTAGTTTCATATCTAGCATATATGTTAAAAGCCTAGTACAACAAACAGTGAGGCTCTGTAATCCCAAAGCTGGGCACATGGAAGATAAGGCAGATCCCTGGAGTTTTCTGGCTAGTCAGCCTAATCAAACCATGAGCTCCAGGGACAGTGAGAGATGGTGTCCCAAAAAGCATTGTGGAGAGTGATTTTCCCAGAATTGTGAAAAGGCCCACAAGTGAAGCCCTAGGTGACAAGAAGCCCATTGTAGATTGGTAGCTTGTGGTCCAGTAAGCATGAGCCTGTAGGATTAGCCAAGACCCATGGGGTGTCAGTATCACCCAACGAAGCCTGGGATGACCCATGAAAGGTGTACTTCTACTATGCTTCAGTGGTACTGGATCTACCACCCCAAAGCCCATCTTCTTCCCATAGGTCTCCCTCACAATGAGTGGATTGATGTACCCTTACCCTTTCTAGGTTGTGCCTCTGCCTTCAGCTTTATGCTGAGTACTGGCAGACCAGTCAGTCATTGACCACATCAGGGCAGTGATGAGCCCAACCTGTCTGCACCCATCTCCGGACTTTTGCAGACCCCTTAGGATCACACTGCAAGCCTGAGACACAAACAAGGTGATATATCCATAATGCAGGTATTTCCACATGAATCCCCTCCCCTACCAATCATGGCCATTCTCTCTCCCTCAAGCCACCCCTTTACAAAGAGAAAGCTCCTTACAGTTAATCCTAAGAGATGCTTCCCATCAGGTCTTTCTCCCCGGAAAACAATGTATCAGTGCATGAGGGGACCTCAAGACTGTCTAGAAAGACCCTTCAGATAGCACAGGAGGAAGTACAGGCTGGCTGGAAATGGAAGCGACCTGGTGTCCCAGTGAGTTAGTGGCTGGTCCAGGATTTAGACACCCCTATAACGAATCCTCTATGATACACAAGCCGTTCTGATTGGAGGATTCACCAAGAAATTCCATGGTGGTAACACCAACTACATCTTTGCCCACTATCAGGTGCCAGTCAGGAAAAGAACTCAGTGTCTGACTCAGTTCTGGCTTTTAAAGTCCAGAGTGAGGGGCAGAGGCAGTGAGGGGCCGGGGTGGGGTGGGGGCTTGGCTGTGCCAGCGCACCATCCGCTGGAGTCTGGAAAGCACACCCCATAGCTGTGTTCCCACAGAGCTGCTGCACTGGGCTCCTTTCCCACCCTGTTCCTCCCTTAGCCCGTGAATTTGGCATGTGGAGGGGATAGAGAGCAGTCTGCCACCAGGGGTGTAGCTCCTGACTGTAGTCAGGCACAGCCTCTGTCCTAGCTGGCTGCCTGAGCACTGCTTCCCTGTCTTGGTTTCTGAACTTTGAGCCTAGGCTGACATCATAACAGAGACAGTTCTGAGGAAAAGGCGAATAGTCAACACATCCTGTATGTTTCCCCTACGCTTGACCTCTGGCTTCATTATCCCAGAGTGCCTTCTTTATGCAAAACAGAAAGCAAGGCTGTGCTGCACGAGAGAGG